ACTTGTAAACACTTGTAGGTTGTAAAACAGGCTTTATCAAATAACACTTACCAACTCGTGCAATAAACGCATGAGTTGTATTTTGTATTTTAACTTGAGGGCGGCGTTCGTGTATCAACCCTAGCGCCACAATCAGGGCCGGTCCTGTCTAGTTTAGGGCCTATGGGCGATATACTATTTTGGCCTTATTTCCAAGATAAACAGTAAATCATACTTACTTAAAGTAAAAATTACGGGGTATAACAAAACTAGGAGAAATTACTCTACATATAACTACAAACGTTTGTATATTCCAAACTAAGATTATCATGTTTTTATTCTCTAAATAGAAGTAATTAATGTCATATTTTGGCAGTATCATATTTTACACATGATAGTATTTTCCGAACATGTCACTTGACAGTAATTACTCCTATTTAGAAAATAAACACATGACAGTCCTATTTTGAAATTCTAAAAATATTTTACTCCTATTTCAGGAATTCTCCCTACAACTATCTAATAAAGGTTATAAAATAAAGATGAAATTCACCTTCGTATTATTTGAATTGCATATTTGGACAAAAGTAACAACACGTGCATCACAAAAGAACATTATGAAGTATGATCATAAACAATTACTTTATAATAGTCCTGGACTCGGGCCGAGTGGCCCGACCCGGGACCGGCCCGGGACCGGTACTGTGCTGAACCGGCCTGGCCTGGCCCGGTGGCCCCGGCCAGTGACCGGTCCGGGTAGGACCGGCCCCGGGGGTTCCCGGTGCAGGCTCGGGTCACCCAAAAGCCGAACCGGCCGGTTCGGGCCCGGTTCCGGGCTTTTTAATTTTTTTTCCAATATTGACCCGAGGCCCGGCCCGGCCCGGACCCAGACCGGGCCCGGTGGCTACCCGAGCCGGTCCCGGGCCCACCTATTCAGAACCGGCGGCCCGCCCGGGCCTAGGACCGGCCCGGCCCGAATCCAGCCCTACTTTATAATCAATCTTTTCCAAGATCACATGTGCAATGTTTAAAATTGCTAATCAATTAAGTTTTTTGAGGCATAATAGATAATTGGGATGATGTTTGAGAATTGGGAGGCACCGGCAGGCCAAAGACAGTAATATAAATTTGTAATTTTGTAATTAAAAGAATAAAAAATCTTAAGGGCTAAAAAGATGTGAAGAGACGTTCTTTTATTGATTCAACAATAAATGTGTTGACTTACAACAAACTCTATTTAAAAATCAAGACTAAATTTATATTCTTTTTAAAAGCTTGTCTAGCTTTATTCAAGACTTTTTACTTGTGTTTTAAAATTCTCAAATTGTCAACAAAAATTACACATTAGGCCTAATTAATTAATTGAAATTATAAATAAAAAAGAAGTATACTCATATTACATATGAAGAAAAAAATTTGGGCCTAATTTTCTTTCTACTTTTTTTCGGGCCTAGGGCGGTCGCCCCTGCTGTCCTCCCCCTAGGACCGGCCATGGCCGCAATGATTGAAGCACAGTCGAGCAAGCCTCTAAATTAACTTTCATCCATTAGTTTTCATCTTGTCGATCTGTGTATCTCAACCTAATGATGTAGTGATCTAAACTATCTTATGGTGACATCGCCGCTCATAGATTTTCGGTAGATGTATGATCTAATTGGATTGTTATTATCTTATGGTTGTGTTGATTTTGTTCTATGGCGGTTCTTTCCCGAACACCGGTGCTCCGGGGTATTTTGTCTCTCTCGATGTGAGGAGTTGGTTGGTCTTCCGGCTAGCTTCATATGGTCACGAGTTTCTATTTGCTTTCTTCTAAAGTGTGTAGACATTGGTATAGCTTGTCCTCCTCCAAAACCACTCCGTGCTATGACGAGTTTTGTGGAAATGCTTTACTTCAATTTTATTTTTCCATCACCAGTACTTTTTTATTTATTTATTTTAGTTTTAGTACGTTTGGTTTGGAAATTTGAACTTCTGGCATACGTTTGATACGTCAGAGCTGCATCATCGCTTGGGACGTCTGCTCCACTGGGAATTTTATCAGGGTAGTCGGTCGTTGGTGTGTCTGATCCAATCATACTACAAATGCAAAAAGAGTGTAAATAAGTTACCGCACAAAAGATTTTCCAGGGAAAACATGTTGCAGAATGTGTAGAGTGACGTTTAACCTAAAGAAATAGAAAAACAACAGATTTAGTAATATATACTCTCCTGTCACACATTTAAATCCACATATTTGGGTCCCGATTGTTTTAGTCTTTAGATTGTCTATTTCGTATCTAGCGAATCAAATTACTTTGTATGAGGTGACTGATTCTAGTTATGTCTATTTTAAGGGCTCACAATCGGATATGTCATAACTGTCTGAATGATATTTCGTATATTTTCTCGATTTTAATGTCAAAGCTGATCCTTTATATTAAAAAAAATTGTGACAATAAACATGTCCTTAAACTTTTAACCAATGTACTAATTTTTTGAGTGATACGTATTCTACGAAACATGTTTACTTCATCTTTAAGTATTTTACTCCGTACTAAATTACAAACAATAACAAAACAACTTTGGACATGTTTACTTCAATTCTTAATAAACAATGTTTAATAAGCCTTGCGATAGTAAGCCGTTGTTTAGTAAGCGGTGTTTAGTAAGCCACCGTTTACTTCATAATGAATTCAGGCTTAATGAATCAAAAGTCCGTTCACTTTATTGGGCTTAAAACATGGTTTACATTTAAAATGTCAAAATTAACCCCGAGGTAATGAAAACCCAGCGGATTGTGTTGCACGTCTATCACCGACAGTTCAAGCCTTTCCTGAAGCAGAGCATCAAATACCTTCACCACCAGACATTTATCTCTTCCTCCATTTGTTCTCTCTCTCCATCTATTAAGATTTATAAAGATAATATATTCTTCGATCTTCAATGCGCTGCATCTATCTTCTCCATTAGAAATTACCATATGCAGGCTTTATATGTACCAGAGGGGTTCAAATACCCAATCTGGATATAGGTATACGAATTACAAAACTGAAATTTTGGGGAATATTACAAAACCCAGGCGGTAGAATAGAAAATTGAATACCTAATCTAATATCCAAAACCGAAACCGAGTGAAAAATTTGTGCTACCGCAGGTTAGGTTTAACCTTTGATCCAATGAATTTAAAAAATCTAACTCACCCAGTATACCTGGGGCATCGATTGCGACATGGAGGAGTTTCGTCGGTGTTGGAGGCCTTGTATCCGAGAGAGGAGAGTTTTTCTTGTGCCTGAGAGAAACTTTGAGGAAGAAGAAGCTAGGCAGAACCGCAAGAAGTCGACGGCGTATGAATGGAAAGGGTGAGGAGGCGTCCGGTTATACTAGGGTATAGATGTAATAAAAATTTCAGAAGGCTTTAAAATAAGGGCTGGATTGTCAATATGAAAATGCTTAAGTGACCGGTTAATAAAACATGGGGGGGGCGTGCGTTTATTAAACGGCGATTAAAAGACCCACCAGCTTAGTACGCAGACATTTACGCAACAGGGATCGTTTACTTCAACCTTCTTAATACCCTAACGGTGAGTTACACGACCAAGTAAACATGTCCAAAGCGGTGCTTAACAAACCCTCCTAGCATGTTTGAATTAAGTTGCAGCCTATGTTTTCCTAATGACGTGCACCTTTATTTATATCTAAATCCTATAAAATTCCTCACATTCTTTTCCTTTGGTACGACTCTTTTCATTAGAAAACAGAAAAATATTACGAGGGTGTTTGTTTTTTGGCGTGATCTAGCCAAAACGCTGGAAAAAACAACCTTTTCGTTTGTTGAATAAGTGGCACTTTGCCAACACTCCACTATCCAAACAGACTCTACCTCTAAATCTAGACGACAAAAACATGACTATTTTTCAATTCTAAAAAAACTCGCTAATCTTTGTTTAATATATATATATATATAATTTTAATTTCTATCCAATTATCAACTCATGTGTATAAATAATGTGTACAAACGTTTGTTTCCACCCATAGCCCACTACCGCCGCCGCCGCCCGTCACAGCAAAAGGTATGTAAAAATTTTGTCAATTTTTTCAATATTTTTTGAATTTTGTTGAAAAAAGCCATTAGTTTTTTTATTCAAATCATGCAAAATGACATGTGTTCAGACATCTACTTAAATTTAGAAATTTTTGACTCAATCACATTTTCCTGGAAAATTGTTATAACTGCAGTTTTTTTTTGAAATAAGTTTTAAATTTAGGATATTTTTATTTGAAGCGAATTTTGCTGGTCTAATCTGATTTGGTCTGATTTGATATGAACTAGTTTAATAAATGTAGCATTGTATTTTATAGCATTGTATTCCCTTTTTATAGAGTAAAAGGGGAACCTCCCAACTCTTGCAACTCTCTCTTAGAGAACTATTCGAAAACTGATACGGAGTATACAAGAGCTGATGGCTGTGAGGGTAGGGGTGGGCTCCACCAACCCAAATAATACTTCCTCCCTTTGAAGTATTACTCCCTCCGTCCTCTAAAGAAGTTCTCCATCGCTTTTCACACATATGAAGGAAAGAAATTTACTGGGGATAAATTTTACTATTTTGACACTGTTTGGACACTGTTTGGACACTGTTTGACACTGTTTTAATATAGATAATTTGCAAAATAAGAAAAGATGAACTTAATTCAGGGACTACCCATAAAGGAAAGGGGGAACTTGTTTCAGGGACGGAGGGAGTATAACTTTGCCAACTTTTCTTTTTTGGAATTATCATTAACTTTGCCACTTTCCCTTTTAAGTACTGAATTTGTGATTCCTGTTAATTCTCTCTCTTCTGCACAAACATCAACCACACAGTTTTTACTTTATTAATCTCGTGTCGGTCAAACTTCGCAAAATTATTAGGGATGGAGGGAGTAATTGCCATTCGTCGCAGCCTCCAAATTGCTATTCACAGCCACTTAATTAAATATAAATAAATAAAAATAATTTAAATATCTAAATTACACTTCATAGTTCATACTACAAACTCCGTACTCCATAAGAATTATTTTAACTGAGAACTACGCTGTTGCCGATTACGAAGAACCGGAAAATGGAAATCACAAGCATGCCAGAAAGTCGAAAACTCAAGATAGCTGGAAACCCAAAAACTTTGCAATTGCAAAATGCCAGAAACACAAATAGAAATGCCATGAACACCTACGGCGAGGAGCATCAAAACGACACAACCTAGAGACTCACGTATATCCAACAATTGCCTTAGCAATTTTCCAATTACACACATTGGAATTTCCCCCTTGCTTACAATACATTTTCTACTAAATACACTCAAATTCAATCTAAATTTACTCTCACCAAACAAAGTCACCTGCATAATGTATTACTCTCATAATACTCTGTATTACTTATGATCCATGGATGTTGAAGGGAAGCTCTGGAAATCATCTAATCATGAACAAGATGAATCTGGAATCTTGCGCCGTTTACTAATGTCGAAACTTGCCGTTATGGAACTCAAAATGTATGGCCAGACTTGCCGGAAGATAAAATTGAGGAAACTTAAGTGAAGGGAAAAGAGCAGGGTGAGGGGAAGCAGGGCTTCGTTGCTCCATTGTTTGCTTCTGTCGTTCAACTTGAGTAATCTAAGTAAAATGTTGGTTTAAAAAAAGATGAATAACTGTAGACAGATACTGCAAAAAAAAAAAAAAACTGTAGACAGATCGAAGCCATTGATGACCACTCAAACTTAAAACAAAAATGATGTTTGTACCCACTCTTATACTTATTTTTGTACTCATCTATGTTTGTGAAGTGTTTTTTTCTTGTGTGTGAATCCCGGTTCACAGGCAATATTTTGCACAAACAAAATATTGTCTGTGAATCAGGTTCACAGACAAAAAAAAAACACTTCACAGACATGGTGAGTATAAAGTGAGTATAATAGTGGATACATCAAGCATTGTTGGACAACGTAAAATAGGAGAGGGGATCATGATTCATTTACGAGAGAGGACGACCGACGACCGTAAGTGTACATGGGCATAACGGGAATTGTAAAATTTTGTGACTGTACTTAGTACTCCCTCCGTAACTTTAAAATCTTCTCATTTGAAAAGTAGGTAGATTAATAAAGGAGTGTTTGAGGTTGCTTAAAAAAGCACTTTTCAGCTTTTGGCTTAAAAAAGTTGAAAAGAGTGTTTTCAAATGACAACTTCTGCTTAAATTAATCACTTAAAAGCTAAAAGCTGGAAGCAGGTAGAAGGGTGCTTTAAACTGTTTCTCACTTTTTCTATTACACAAAAAGTACTTATTTTACCAAACACTACCAACTTTTACTTTTTCAGAATCACTTTTTTCTCAAACACTACCAACTATTACTATTAATCACTTTTCCCAAAATCAATTTAAAAAATTACTTTTTTAAAGTTGAAGCAATTGCAAATACTCCCTAAGGTGATGGAATGTAGGATAAATCCAAAAAAAAAGTAGTTGTAATAGTGTATTATTTTCAGAATTATTGAAGGTATGATGAGAAGATTTAAAAATGGGAAGATTTTTTTGTTACGGACGAAAAAGGAAAGTGAGAAGATTTTAAAGTTACGGAGGGAGTAAATGATAGGGTTGTGAATAGAATTACCCTATTTTTTTCTAATTAGTATAGATATGGAATTATGGATTTTATTATTAGCCCCTCAAGATTTCTTCCCAGCCCACCTCAAAATTAGTTCCCAGCCCAGCCCACAGTCCAAGGCCAGAATATTCAACTTACCCGCTCCTAGGCTCCTAGCGAACGAAGAGCAAACACCAAGTCATCAGCCCCGCCGCGTTCCGCCGTCCACCCGTCCAGGGGGCTGCATCATTGGCCGTCCTTTCTCTATGTGCTCTGCCTCCAGCTCTGGAGGAAGACCGCAGGTTAGTTTTTTAGAGTTTTGCTCTCTCACTTTGTGATTGTTTTAACGTGTATTACTCCGATAGTTTGATTATAGATTTTTACTCTCTTATTTTGTGTGACACTCCGTTAGTCAGTTAGGTAAAGTCTAAAAAATAATCAAATATTTTGACGAAATTCATGCTAAAAATCCGTACTTTTAGGGGTTCTACGATAATAATCCCTACTCAAGATTCTATACAAATAATCCAAACTCATAAATGCGTCTACATAGATAGAATAAATCTTTCATGAGAAAAAGTCCTTCACCTAATGGACTTTTAATCTTTTTAAAAAATGATTATGTTTTCACTTCAACTCATGTTTTTAAAGAACTAAATTAAACAACTACTAGAGTACTGCATGGGTTTACTGAATAAAGGGAAACAGTTAGCACTAAAAAATAAGGGTATGTTTGGTTCAAGGTAATCACCTATGCAGGCCGGAATCTCATGCCCAGGATCTGAAATATCCGTGTTTGGTTCGTAGGTTTATTTTTATGGGGGGAATGTCACATTCCGAAAAACAAGAGAAAGTAATAGGATGCCCCTTCATCTCAAACCCACTCAACTCTTAGGTTATCTTACATTCCTTAGTGGGAGTGAATTTTATTCCAAAAATACCCATTCTCATTTAACCAAAATGGTTTAAATAGCATACAGAGTATTTATTTTTTATTTTTCTTAACCCATCTGCATTGGAATTTTTTTAAACAAACCCATCCATATTGGATTAAGAAATACAAAATGTATACTTTTGAATTTGATTTATTAAAAATTAATGAAATAATTACATATTTATGACTAAAATAAAGATTGTTTACAAAAATGTGAGAAGTGACTACAGTAGTAATTTAATCATAATAACTTATATTAAACTTTTAAACTTAAATGATCATGATAACTTAATATATGAGGAGGTGGTGTTATTATTAAGAAAAAGGAGTTAATGTGGTTGATAGTGAATTACTCCGTAATAAATTTAGAATACTGTAAGAATGATTTAGAAGGATCAAACATTAATTTTTTTTCACTAGTGGTTGATAGTGAATTACCTTTAGTAGGAGTAAAATATAACATGCAACTTTTCCTTAAATAGGAGTCAATATCTAATATTTCCTAAGTAGGATCAACCATTAATTTTCTACCCCTAATCTAATTAATTAATTGTCCCCTAAGTCCTTGATTAATCAGGTCATTCTATTGGTGACATGTGGTCCATTTATTTTTTTATCGATGAAAAACGTAGGCTCCTATCGATGAAGACATTCTTTCTTGAGACCCCGACGATTGTAATAAGGGTATTACGAAAAAATATTTTTAAGGGCATTAAAGTAATTCACCAAGTTAGTTGTATAATATATGATTTAACCAAACAAATTAATGTCACATTCCTTTAGTCTCAACCAAACACAAATGGGTACAAATTGAATACATTCCCATCAATCTAACATACCCACAATCTAACATTCCCATGGTAATATGACATTCCTTGAACCAAACATAAGAGTTAATATAATCCATCAGAGACATAATTTTGTCTCGACCCTTATTAGTATTTTCAAAAAATCGATATTACACTCTTCTATCAAACATGTATACTGCAAAAGTGTAATGCATCAAAATATGTACTTCATCCGGTTTCTTATTTAGGTGAATAGACTTTTATTCATGGAGATTTAATCTATCTATGTAGACGTGTTTATGAGTTTGGATTATTTGTATAGACATCTTCAGTAGGGATTATTATTGTAGAATCACTAAAAGTACGGATTATTGGCATGAATTTAGCCAATATTTTTACCCTTTTAGAGTGTTAGGGTTTTACTCTTTTAGAGTGTTAGGGTTAGTTAATCAATTTTGGTTATTAATTGAAGTTTTCAGTGAATAATAAAATAGGGCAAAAATTCATTATAAATTTATAAGGTGACGTCCATAAGAATAATCCATACTTTTAGGAATTCTACTATATTACTGAGAGTGTTCACAAAAATAATTCGAATTAGCAATTGTATTCATAAGAATAAATTGATGTGAATTCAAATTAATGCCCTTTTAATACTATCAACCCTTACTCCCACTTTTCTCCTCCTAGCCTCTTCTAGCTTCTCGGGACAAATTCAAACTAAAACCCGTTTGATATGAACACGATATCCGTCATATGTGGTTCTCTCTAGCTTGAAACATAAAAGCGTGAACCGAGATGGAGAGTGATGAATGGGAAAGTGGTAGGGATTGAGAGTATTAAATGATTATTAGTTTGAATTCATTTCAATTTAATCTTATGAACACTATTGCTAGTACGGATATTTTTATGGACACTCTCATTACGGATTATTATTGTACAATCCGTAAAAGTAGAGATTATTCTTGTGAATTTCGGCAATTTATAATGATTAAAGATAGAACTAAATCTTAGAGAATGATTTATTAATTATACAATTGAAGATTAGCTGATTAGAGAATGATTTTTTTATTGTGTAGACATGTATTTTTTTTTGAAGATTTCAATTGAATTTTTAAATCGGGAATACTTATTAGTTTTATGTACAACGGTTGTTTTTTCTTACTAGTTTTATAATTTTTCTTATTATTTTCATAAATTTTTTATTTTTATAGAAGTATTTTAATTCATACCAAATATTGAAAATGTTTTTTAGAACGGAAATTTCAATTAAGTGATGTTTTGATGAATATTTGAAGTGTTGACGATTTGATGTAATATTATGTATGTGTCTTTCACTTTTTTTTCCTCAGCCCACCCTATTGCAACTTTCTGGATCCGCCCGTTGAGTGATATAGTCTTATCGTCTTCATCGGCCGCTACAGCTGTGGCGGCAATTGGGGTTAGCGTTGTTGGACAGCCTTGAATATTTTGCAATCTATTAACGTTGTGATCCAGCAGGCATGTTCGTCAGCGATGGACTCGTAATAGCAATCTGGTTTACTTTTGAAATATCTTTTATATTATAAAAAGCCAACGTTGAAATAAAACTTGGTCAAATCTGTTTCTGACACTAATTCTAAGTTTTGACCGTTTTGTCATAATTACCCGTATTAAACTGGAATGTACTCATAAACCGTGGGTGTCGTGATTCTAATGATTGTAAGGTTGTTTAGTTTTGCTTCTTGAATTAGCTCAAAATTTACTTACTGAATGCAACTACAATTAGCACACCAACTGTTTGATGATATATTTATTTTTATTGCCGGGTGTAGTTCATCATGGTTCACACTAGAGCACTAATATCCACATTGCAAGCTGTATTTGCATTTGATATTTGACTAGTGAGTTTCAGACTTTGAGAAGTATGTTTGGTTGTTTCAGGCTTGGTCTCTGAAGAGCTCATCATATAGAACAACTAGTTATGTTAGTTCATTCAATAGAAGAAGCAGGTCTTCTGTTGGTTTTTTGTCCCTGTTGAATGTGACCAATATTTGCAGTTTTTCCAGCGATTCATTTTCTTCTAAAAGGAGTTCTTTAGCACCTGTGATGTCTGCAAAGAAAGCTTCTGAAGGTGAACATGTATTTTACATTTTTTACTGTGATGTACTGTAAATATTTTTGTTCGTATTATTTATGAATTGTTTCATAATTTCTTGTTGTTTTTAGTATTGTTTAGTCTGTTGACTATTCCAAGGACATCTTTATTTGTGAAACTCATACACACGCTTTATACCGGCTAGGTTTGAAGCAGGAAGATGGGAAATATAAGCACACCATTGATCTGCCAAAAACAACATTTGGTATGAGAGCAAATTCAGTTATCAGAGAGCCAGAAATTCAAAAACTATGGGATGAAAACTATGTTTTTAAAAGAGTCTCTGAGAGAAATACTGGGGTGAGTTGTAAATGATGTTTTTAATATTTTAATGTAATCAGATGGATTCATATGAATCATATCTGATGGTTGATGTTTGTTGGTAGGGAACTTTTGTTCTTCATGATGGCCCCCCTTATGCAAATGGTGATTTACACATAGGGCATGCCTTAAATAAGATTTTGAAGGATATCATTAATCGTTATAAGGTTTGCATTCTTCATTCCTTTTTACTCATTTTATTTTTGTTGTACTCGAAAAATTTATTCCATTTACATGTACTTCTCCCATTTATATCTTCCCCTCTGCATGTGCACATCATCCCAAAATGAAGAGTGTTACAAGCATTCCATGTTCTTAATTGAAATAAGTCAAATTACATTTTTCTGCCTTGCACAAAGATTACCATAACATATTCTTTCACAAATCCCAATGCTTGAAGGTTCCTGTGCTTTTTTTCTTGACAGCTTCTTCAAAATCATAAAGTGAAGTATGTGCCTGGTTGGGATTGTCATGGTCAACCAATTGAGTTGAAAGGTACATATTTCAACAACTTCACTACTGTAAACTGTCCTGTTAAAAAAAGAAATTTAAAACATCATGAACTTCCTCATAATTGTGATAGCATCTAATGGAAGGAATTGGGCGTTATGGTTACTTTCCTAAATTTCTGGTAGCTTACTTCTCTTCACATAAATTAAAAGGTTGAAAGAAGTACACTGGTGCAGCCTGCAGTAGACTATAATAATGTCCGAAATTGCGTATTCCGTAATTGAGCCGGGTTTTAGTATTGTGTATTCCTTAACCCTCATTACGTAATGGAGTTCAATCCTCAATTTTTAATACGCACACATATAAGAAGTAATGAAGTAATTTTTTCATAAAAAGTCAACAATTTCCATAGTAAAACCAAAATAAAGTTCCATGGTAAAATATAATAATATTCCACGCACAGTGAGGAATATACTAACATATGCTTAGTATTCTCGTAATAATATGAATACATAACCTTTTATCTAATAAAGACATATGTTAAAATTACAATTGAACAAAACTATATAGCATAGGGGAAGAACCTTTATAAGAGAAGAG